GATGACAAAATTTAAAAATTCAATTAATCCGAAATACATAGAATTATATTTCGAATTTATTAAATATAACAAAATTATCCAGAAAATAGATAAACACGCAGAATCCTAAACAATAGAATTTGGTCGAAAAATGTCAAACTTGCTTAATGGACAGTTTCCACTCAAAGTGACACCCAAAAAATTACGTATTTCAACATTGATCCCACTTCTCCATAAAATCTTCTTCATAAAAAGTCACACATCCATAATTTTGATACCATTATAGTTTGAAGCAGCGTCTCAACGAACATCGGAACATGAACGGATTTAGGGGGGATTGGGTCGGACTGTCAGTCCCCGATCTATTAAATTTTTTAGTGTAATTTTTTTTTCTTGTAAGTTTTTTTATGTGTTAATTTATTTTTTTCTACGTATTAATTCGGCTTGTGGTCCGATCCTAAATTCGTCTCTCCATCGAAAGGAATAAATATGCAAGAACCGGTAGGATGTATTATCACTCCATTGTCATTTTATAGATTGCTGTCGTCTAAAGTATGAGACACCTTCTTATTCAGAGATTGTGTGCGATCTTCCCATGCGTTCAGTTTTCCAAAATAAATACTTTCTTCATTTGGTCAAAAAATTGTGCTACATGAACCATGTGTACAACAAGAACAATGCGACATTGAAAAGGCAGATCTCTTCCTTTATTCATGTTGCAAGAACCATATTTATTTTAGGTAAAAATAAATACGAATTTTTTTGTCGAAAATTATTTGAACTTATAGATAAGACCGCTTTAATATAATATGAGACATAAATATTCAAAATTCATCAAATACAAAAAATTTCACACATTATTAAGAAGAGTAGCTCAAATCGTTATATATTGGTTTATATTTCGATATTTAAGCAATATGAGATTCATATGCTCCCGCAATTAGGTCGCTCGTTTGAGCAGGCTGATCTTGAAATCCGCTTGCTTGTTTCTAAGTTTTAATCGGATCGAATGTTCTTGATACCGTATTAAGACTTGGTGTTCTATTTTAAAATGTTAACCTTATGAAGAAGAGTAGCTCAAACCCTTATATGTTGGTTTATATTTCGATATTTAACCAACGTGGATTTATCCTTAACGTTAACTAATCCAACATTCCAAATAATAGTTCTGAACCATAGAATGTGTCTTGAGAAAGAGAGTAAAAACATAGAATATGTCTAATTTTTGTTTTCTAACTTATAATTTTCCTCTTATTTTGATAAAAGGAGTTTTGATAGTTTTTCTTATACTTATCGATGACATAATCCCAAAGCATGTAAATACAAATAGACCCATAATCATCTTTCTTTTTTGGTACTTATTGTCCAATAATTTTAGTTTCAAGACGTCTATCAAAGACATGGGTAGCATTATTAAATTAACTTCAATATTTTTATGCTTGTTTTCATAATGCCCAAAAATTCTCTATAACGTCAATAATTGATTGTGTGAATCCAAACAAGTGTTTATTGTTTATTTGGTACTTAAGTCCGCACACGAAAATACCAAAATTACACTCATCTCTTCTTCAATCTCGTTGGTTACTATGACAAAACATACCTTCAAACCATGATAAAATACTAAATTAGACCCTGTTTGAAATCATATTTTTAGTAAATTTTGATGAAAGTTGATGAATATGCCGTTTCAAGTTGATAAAAATCATATGAGTCCCATAAAAAATGTGGTTGAAAACAAGTCTGAAAAAGTTCGAGTTCCCTCAGAGCTATTGAGGTGAGTATCCGACCGTAAACTTCAGGATCCCGTGGAATCAGTCTGAAAAAAAATAAGTTTTAAAATATAGGGACCAAACATGGGCTAGATAACGTTTGATGGGTCAATTCTTTTCATTAAGTTTGAAAAGTTCATAACCAATTGACTCAATCAAACTTAATTACTACAGAATAAATGTGTTCCAACTCATTATGAGTAATAGTTCTGCCGTCTTGATTTGGTTTTAGGGTTTAGAATTGCGTGGTGTTTGGGGTTGATTATAAGCGGGCACCGACTAATTTAAGAATGCAGCAGCTGGCAGAAAGCGTCGGCAGTTGCACGAATGGACTAAAAGAATGCCACTCAATAGATATTCAGTCGCCCAACCCGACAGGATTTTATTCTTCCTACTTCATGTTTCTTGTACCATCTCTTTACGTCCATTTAACCTTGAATCTCTCTCATTAAAGTTACTAGTTAAGATAAAATATATTAGCCCATGTTTGGTTTATCTAAAAAAAATTGATTAAATATTGGGTCAAAGTCAACGTTTAATTTTAACCAGAATTTCATGGGACCCATAACTTTTATTTTATCAACTTTTATCAAAATGTGCTGTAATTTGATTTTTAACTAAACCAAACATGGGCTTCATAATGGGATTGAAGCAAGAAATTAGACGTGTGTGTTGGATTGTAAGTGAGAACGAGTAAGTTAGATTCTGAGTTCAAAGGGACGTATGTATGAGTAGATTCTCTTAAAGTTAGGGAAAATGAAGGAATTAGTGTTATAAAAAAATTACGACTATAATTGAACAAGTTAAAGTTAGATCCTTGGCTAAGAAGAACGTATGTACGAGCAAGTTCTCCTAAGTAGGAAAATTGAAGGAATGGGTGCCATCAAGAATCTCGGGAAGTTGTTTCCTCTAATATATAACAAGTTAATTAAAACGTTGTGTGACTCAAATTAACAACTTTAAACTTTACTAGAAAAGCACATTTCTTGATCAATACATATGATATAATTCATCGAAACATTGATTTCCTTGAATTATTATTATTTTAATTTTTATACATATTCGATGTCATGAAGATAATATTATTATTTTAATTTAAATTTTTATACATATTTGGTGTCATGAAGACATGAACCGAGTCATGATTACTTAAATATTGCATTCGGAATTATATATTTTGAATTCAAATTTTAAAATAACCCTAAAACGGATTTCCCTTTCATTTATATATTGATATTATTATTAGCCATTACTCTAATTAAGTGGGCCGTCAGCAACTGTATATGCATCAAATGACAAAAAATGACAGCTTTAGCTTGGCTGCTTATTGTTTCCCTTACATGGCCAACGGGCATAATTGCATTTTTTTTAAAAAATAAAATAAATATATAGCTGAAAATTTTTGGTTTTTTCTTTTCAAGAGTTCGAAATGTTTTCTTGTTATATTAGGGGCGTGTTGTACGTTACTGAACATAAACAGATAATATAATGAACAAGATTTTAACTTTTTTTTCTT